AGATCATTTTTTTTACAAGCCTTGTATGTGGCACCTTGTCAAATGCTTTCTGAAAATCCAGATACACCAAATCCACACCCCTACCCTAATCTAAATAAACAGTAACCTTTTCAAAGAATGTCAAAAGATTTGTAAGGTAAGATTTTCCCTTGGCAAAACCATGTTGAATATCCAAAAAAATTCTAAACTTTGTTAAATGGCTTTGCAAAGCATCTTTTAACTGACTTTCCAAAACATTTCCCACAACTGATGCAAGACTAATGGGTTTGTAGATACTGGAATAATTTTTATCACCTTCCTTGTAAATATGAGTTACATTAGCTAACTTCCAATCCTCTGGTACCTGCCCACTATTCAAGTACTGACAGAAATAGTAGTAAGTGGCTCACATATCCAATCTTTAACCTTCAAAACCCTTGGGAAAATATTATCTGGCCCAGGAGTCTTATCATTTTTTAAACTTCCCAGTTTTCTTTTCACCAGCTCAGAATTAATGCAGTTATCTTGTTTGATCTTGTTTCCATTTATCAATTGTTCAAGATGTTGAATACTGCTTAAATCTTCATTAGTAAAAACGGAAGAAAAAGCAAAATTTAATAACCCAACCATCTCATAATTATCTGATACTAGCCTTCCTTTATCATCCCTCAAAGGTCCTACATTTTCAAGAATTTATTAAAAAGAATATCCTAAATTAGGACAGCAACGAGCTCATAAACCAAACAAAATCATAGCAGCAGTCATTTTTAACCTCACAGTACAAGCATAAAAACATTAATAAAGTAACAACAAATATCTATTAAATATATAAAGTAACAAATACATATTAATTATTACTCAAATTATTATTTCAGTCGTTCTTAATGTATCAAGTGTCTGTATGCAAAGAAAAGGCAAAAACTATGGTTTTTATCATTAAATGAAGATATAGCCTAAAGATGCTTTGCGGGCTTTAGGGCATAACCAGGTTTCATTCGCCCAGGCCCCTGAGCATTTGCCCCCCCCCCTTCCTGGCCCTTCCCTTAATGTATTTAAAGAAATCCTAACTGCCAATTTTTACATTTTCAGCTAACCTTTTCTCATACATCCTTTTTGATGTCCTAATTTCTTGTTTCACCAACTTTCATGATCTTCTTTAATCTTCTAAATCTCCTATCATACAGGTCAATTTAATTTTCTTTAATTTTATATCTTAAACTACTTTCTGTGAGCTGACTTGGTATTTTACTTGCAGCTACCCTTTTCTTTCTATAAGGAATATGTTTACCTTGAATATTTAAGCTGTCTAAGTTGTCTCTTTTTCTAACCTTACTCCAAAATGCATTAAAATTCTGTACACAAGGATTTCCCTAAGTGTGAGGTGTGCCTCCCTCTCCCACCAGGGTGGCACAAGTAATTTCCTGGGAGGGGTGGTGGTGAGTGATTAGGGAAGAGTCATTAATACTATAATGCAAAATTAAGCTTTTTGATATTTTTCATTAATGAAACTAATAAGTAATTACTATAGCACACACACACACACACAGCATTTTAATGTGTATCTGTGTATTACATCCTATCAGTTAACGCACTCTTTCACTCATTTAAAAAAACGGGGAGGGACAAAAGAAACCATATTTGTTAAAGGGAGGTATGGATGACAGAAGTTTGGGAAACACTGCTGTATACTACTGCACTTGTGCAGCTTTTCATTTCAATAAAGTCTTAAACAAAGGCCACAATGTTGCAAGTTACAATAAAATGAGTAGAGCAGTGAGATCTTCAAAAGTTGGGCCTTAGGGCAATAATATAACTTTATTCTTTATATGTGTGTGGTTATATATATTAATGTTAATAGAAGACCAATAGGTACATCTTAATCACTCCTTACCCTGAAAATTAAGCAACTAGAGCTGTGTGTATATTTTTTACACTGATTGAATCAGAAAGTGGTAGACAAAAGTGTGTTTGATGATTATATGAGGTTTTTAGGCAATGCATCTAAGTAACAACATATTATCTTTAGAATTAAATAATATGTTTCTAAAATTCAGTATATAATTTTGTGTTCTGTATTCACATCCAATTAGTATTCAGCTGGGAAAGAGTACTTGTTTAAAAGTTTTTTTTATTACTTACATCAATTAACAGACACAGCTTGTGCTATTTTTCCAGGATGTTTATTTTTATAGCATCTACTTACTGGTGGTATTTCAGTTTTATAGGGTTTTTTTTCTCTCTATATCTTAGATGTGATGTCGTATCCAAATTTTGCAGTCTTTTTTTATACTTTTGTACTCTGCTCAAATTTTGTACTCTAGATTTTCCAAGGCACTGCAGTTTCAAGTGTTTGTGTTGCAAAGTTAGGTTTTCTTTATGAACTAAGATATTTAAGTATAAAAATTAAGTTCAGAAAGAGCATTGATTTTGTCAACACACTTTCATCTAACTTCAGCATGTGAAGATCGTGTGTTTAAGAGAGTACATTTTCTTAGTGTTTTAGACAAAACTGCTGTGTGCCATTGTTCTTTCAGTCACTTAAGAAATTCAGTTATTTTAACTAAAAGAAAATGAAAAATTGTAAGAAACCACACTGAACAATTGATATTTAATTCAAATGACATCTAGATTTAAATACATTGCATAGATATGTTTAGGGAACATAAATTTTGTACTTTATTATCATTCTTACTTTGTTCAGAGTAAATTAGCTTATTCTTTTGGAAATCTTGAATAAAAGCTTTACTTAATGTAAAGCTGCAAAGCTAAGCTGATGTGTGTGCATTCTTTATATCATTCATGTGAGGTACAGATTTGTTTGTTTTCCTTAAGGATAGTTTTCACTGATGTCATGACATCCATGGTTTTCTCAAGCCACCACCATCTTGTGGGTCAAGTTAAACAACAATGACAGACAAATAAATGATTGTTTAATTACATATTTAACTGTTCTTGTTGTAGTATTCAGTACTGAATATCTTACTGTAATTGAGTGAATTTAACAAGCTTGAATGTAAACAGTTATTTCTAGTTTCTTTGCATATGTAAATAGTGAAGTGCCTGAATAAATTGATAAATGGTGCAAGTATCAACTGAATTTCTATTGTCTGACTAATTTGCTGAAATAATTTAACTGATTTCATAAATTATAATTGGATATTTTGTAACTGTCAATATTCATGAATATATATATTTATTTTGGTAGTTCTCTGCATTATAAGCTATAAATTTGAGTGCACATGTGTAATAAATTGCTATACAACTGTATAACTTTGTATAATAAATTCAGAACTTTGGTATTGAAGTTTTATTATAGTTGTTAAATGTTTTCCAATATGATATCTTACCTCCTGTCACAAAATAGCTTTTCTCGACCAGCACTGTCCTCTATTGGCACAAATGTTCAATGCACACCACTATCCTTCCACCTCCCATTTCTTCACACCACTTTATTCACTTTCACTATCTTCTAAACTATCTGAGTCAACCACATCAAGTATATTTACATAGTAATTAGGGTTACTAATATACGACATTTGGATATTATACAGCAAAATTTAATGAAATATTGGTTGATAATCTAAAAAACAAATATCATTTGTATTTGATTGGTGTTGGCATATATTATTTTAACCCATTCATTGCATCTGGGATGTATATTTCCCAGTGCTCCCACCCCCTCACACTGTGATTGTAACAAAGTTTTCCCATTGTCTACACTGTTTATGCCTTCTTCTGCTGGGTCCAGGCTCATCACCTTGACTATCATCACTAGATGGAGAGCTAGCATCCTCTTCTCTCATTGCTTCTTCATCATCACACATTTGAACACCACTTGACTCATTTTCACTATCTTCTAAACTATCTTAGTCAAGCAAATCCAGCATATTTACATAGTAATTAGGGATACTACTTGCTGTTCTAGTGATGTGGACACAGTCAGCACACAGTTGTCATACATTCCACTTGGGAATTTTGTTGGTTACTAAAGGGCTGAGTGTAAAATTGAAGGAAACCATATATTAACATTAGATGGGATACCAATAAATAATTTTCAATTTTGAATGACAATGGGAAACATTTGTCCCAGTCGCAGTATGAGGGAAGTGGGAGCACTGGAAAATATATATCCCAGCTGCAGTGAAAGGGTTAAGCTATGAAATTGTTTGCACTTAGATTTGTGTGGTTTGTTTTGATTAATCAAGCATTCTTGAGCAGTTTGGTGACCGATGTAGAGTTTGTTAACCAGTATTGTGCCTTTTCCTTCTTTGGTAACTTCTCATTTAGTTTAAATGAAAGTACAAAGTCTGGGAGTGTTCTTTCATTACAAGTTTACAGGCTTCCATGGAAACATATTAGCAGCATGACCATGAACACTGATGATTGTTTTACTTTATTCATAAAGGACGTTATTTATACTCCCACAATAGAAAGCTTTGTTTAATTATTCGTTAAATTAGCTAATCAGCTTGTGGACAAGTGCAGTGTGTAAAGTTTCATGGGTTGTAATTTTTATAGTGAACCTGTTTAATTCCACATTTTTATTAAAAATATTTTTATTGTTCAAAAATGACCTTCATATTTTACTGTACATCAAAGGTTTGAAATGTTTTATGGAGATAGCTGATATCCAGCTATTGCATCTGCTTTGGCCAAGATCCTTGGTTTGCTTTCCTTTATGTAGTCCCAACAGTGGGAATTCCATAAAAACCTCAGTTGGGAATGTCATCTGATCTATTGGGTCAGATATAAAGCTACAAAAGAGTTAATCCATTTTTTTATCTTAGGTGATTAGTTTCATCTTAGTGAAGAATTATCAAACAATATTGTACCCACAAGATGCTAGAAGGTTAAATGACAATTTTGACTTGTTGTTTGACCCACAAGATGGCAGATGAGTGAAAGAGTACAAATGTGTGATGTCATATTAAAACTATGTATTTGAAAATTTTGTTAATTAGTATTATAGTATAGAGTTCTTTCTTTAAATATCATAAGTGAATATTAACCTGCTTCTTTAGGTACACAACTGAGTTAACCATGGAAGAAGAAGGATCTTTCCTACACATGACTGCTCCAACCTTTCACAGCAGTGTGGACTTCACTGTGCATGACTGGCTGAAGAAGTTTAATGCTACTTCCTTGAAACCTCCTGACTTCAGGGAATATTGGGCATTGAATGTACCCAATATTTATAGTCCAAGAGCAGATATGAACTGCCTAAACATTACCTTTGATGAAGGTCTTGCGAAACAGGTTTTATTTACACCTTTAGAACGATTTATATGTGGTTGTAATGAAACAGAAAAAGTTTTTGAAGAGATAAAAAAAATTGACAGTCTACCCATGTTATGTGGTCGTGTTTTCAAATCAAGAGAACCTACATATTCTTGTAGAGACTGTGCTTTAGACCCTACTTGTGTGCTTTGCATGGACTGTTTTAAAAACAGGTTTGTATTATAAATAGATATATCATGTGATTTTAGTTTATGTGTGTGAACAATGTGGGTGTGTATATTTATGTACATGTAGATATATAATAACTGTTCACAGAATTTCTTGACTGTAAAATTACAAAAATACATAATTTTGACGATTGAGAAAATGTGACACATATTGTTGCATTAAATTGTTCTGTATTTTTTCCCTTTATTCCTGAACCGTGCATCATGTTCATTAAGTGCAGCAAACCTTAGATTGAGTGCTTAACATATTTACTTGTGGTGTTAATAAATAGGCTTAATGAAATCACAAAAAACACTATTCTTTAAAATGAGAAGCAGCAATTACCTTAACATGTTGATCGTTTCTGTGCGTGTATACATAGGTATGCACAGTATCCTGGCCAATTTGCCAAAAAAGTGCCTACAATTTGTGAAATAATTTGTTTCACCAACGTACAATGTTCAGGGTGTTCTTCATAAAATTGAGTTAGAAAATAATGGATCAAACTCTTTAGTTTTCTCATATATCAAATCTTTAATATTTTAAACCTTGTAGGTGCATCTTTATAGAAGTTTAGCATTTTGCTCTTTTTTTTACATCAAGAGACTCCAAAGAAAGACATTTCACAAATGAATTCAACTCAGTCTGTACTTTAATGATACTATTATATACATTAAAATATAGGGAAGAGGCTAAGTAACACAGATTTGTACTATTTCTGTACATCTTTTGCATGTAATTGACTGCAAGTTTATGTGTGAAGAGAATAATACATTGTATCTTAACATTATGGTTTCTATATTTATTCAGTATCTGTAAATTCCAGTGTACATAGCACTTGAAACAGACACCCTAGCCATCTAATATACATGGCTGTTTGGTAGTAAAAAATAAAAATATTTATTCAGATATTTTATATCTAGTAGTAAACATTAAGTATACTGTATATAATTTTAAAATTTTATTATTGTTAACTAGTAATAATAAATTCACACCTTGGTTTTGCTCAATAATGTGCTTATGTGATATCATGTGATAGACATGAACTTTTTTCATTGTTGCATTCTGAATACGTGTTCTTGATGCAAAAGTATGTTATATAATTCTAAAAATGTTATTTTATATTCATGAAAAATAAGATTTTTAATGAGATAGATTCTCAAATGGATAAACCACGGAAACATTTAAAACTACATCAGCAAATATAAAATACATGTACAGTGTAGGTTACATGACTATGCTAACCCTTGCCCAATGTGATAGTGAAATCCTGGGGATCATTCACTCATTAGTCTATCCTTTGATGTGATATTTGTTTCTTGCATTATATTATAATAATACAGATATTGTAAAGCAATATCATTCGTTTGGTTAATGTCACTGATTGTCTAGTCTTCTGATTGACAATATGACAGCTATGTGTTCTGTAACTTTGTCTAAATATGTTTAGACATGTGGGAGAGCAAAATATTTAATTTTGTTTTAATACAAAAAGTTTTGAATGCTACATGTGATTGCTTTGGAAATAGCATTGCATCACGTGCAGTGCTCACCAGATTTATTAATGAAATATAACCATTTGCTAAATATTAGAAAAATACTGTTGTTCAAATATGTAGTATTTATGTTGATTAATGTGTAAATACAATTTAATAATGTGTGGTGAACAGTAGATTCCTTGTTAAAAAATAGCTGTTTGTGTAAACCTTATTGAATCATATGTAGTGATCTTACTAGATTCATTAATTCTCAGATGATACCTCATCTTTTCACACAAAATAGCTTGATCCCTTGTACATCTACCTATGAGATTTGTATGCCACTAGCCTTGAGCTAACACCCACTTAAAAAGCACATGTTTAACAAAAACTGCACTAGTGTATGATAACATCATCATGCAAAGATAGTACTCCATTAATAGGAAGGCCACACAACCTCTTTGTGCAGTAGCTCCTCCTAAGTACTTGTGCTCAAAATAACTTCATTCTTTTCTTCAGCATTGTCTTGAATGGATGTGTTTTAAAATTATTAATCAATTTCATGTGATTTGCAATAGTGTACAAAAAGTAACATTTGTTCAAATTAACTGGTTTCTATAATTTTACTAAAGAAAAAAAAATCCCACTTACCTGCCATTATGAATCTCATGTGATGATAACTTCTAGTTTGTCCTGTGAAGGAAACAATGTTATTAACATAGGATCTGGGTCTACAATGACAACTGGAGGGTCGTTGTCGATGGAGGTTGTGACAACTGTTGTTCAACACTGGGCCTCCACCTACCATTTTTTTGGCTGATGTCCCTTCCTCCCAATTTGAACATGACCAAGATGGTGATGATTTTGGCCAACTGTTTCCCCCACCAGGGTTTGCTCTAGATACTGCTTTATCTGTGGAGGAAAATTCTTACCCTTCTGATCTGTTTCTTCACATGATTTCCGGGTTGTTCTTTGCTTTCTCTTTCCCCTATGTCTTTTGACTCCTCATGTTTTTTGACATCATGAATTTCATACTCAAGATTACTTTGTCTTCTCTCCTTTGCAAGACATTAGGGTTTCATGCAGACTCATTTCTTGACCAACTACACACTTGTACTTACATGCCTGATCCTCCTTGCCTACTTGACTCTTTTTTGTCCTGGCTTACAGCCATTCTTCATATCCCTTCCCTGATTCACCTGTTTAGGGGACGATCCTTTAATTTCTAGTGCCCAGTTTTCTTACCTTTTGCTCTTTCTTACCACCTCCTTATTTATGAGGCACTTCATTGTGCACCACAAGGGTTTTCTGGAGAGGTTCATTCTCTTCTTTTCACCACTTTAGCTTATACTACTACTTCTGCTCTATCCCTCCTTACTTGGTTCCTCTGCTGTTGGGACTTGTTGAGTTGAGGTGCTCTCCTAATTAATGTTTGTCTGCCTTAATCTTATGTCTGTGATCTTTATTGGACTCCTTATCTTTTCCTGGAGGTCTTCAGGAGTGTTCCTGACTCACTGGTGACCCAAGCCGAGGTGGACTGGCATCAGTCCTGATTGTCTATTGTGGTTTCTTATTTTTCTAAACCTCACCATTCCAGCTTCCTGATCTTCTTCTTCACATCCTTCTACATCATGATGTCAGGTTTGTTGCCTACCTCATTGGTGACAATCCTGTTGGGTATGCCCCAGTAGTAGTAGCCTGTTTGTCATACTTCACCAACCTTTGGTCTGTGTTTTCAACTGACAGATGGTTTCTTCAGTTTTTCACCCATAACCTATTTCTCCATTTCTCTTCTCCTCCTCATCTTTCCTTTTCCTGTTTCTTTTCCTCATCACTCCAGTCCTATTTTCAGTGTCTTGAGGATGCAGTCTTGGATCTCTTGGCCATTTGCTCTCAGTTGGGCACACCTCTTTCAATGCCTTTGCCACTCCTCTTAACACCAACCTTTCACTCTTCTGGTCCCCAGTTCCTCATTCTTCAGCCCTGGCAGTCAATGCTCCCAGCCAAGGCTGGTCTCACCATTTTCTGTATGTTTATCCTCCTCTTTGTCACCTCCCTCATATCCTTGCTTTGATACATGATACTTCTTGTCGGGTCCTGTTGGTGGTGCCTCTTTGGCCTGCATAACCCTGGTTTCATCTGATTTGTCAGTTGGTGTCCAAGCCCCCTATTCCTCTCTCTCTTTTGTTGTAACATCACACATCTATTTTTCACCTAGGGGTATCATCCCTTCATTTTCACATGTGGAATGTATCTGATTCATTGTCTACAGGACCAGACTTTCTGATTGTATAGCCTTCTTCTTATCCCATTCCTTTTGTCTTTCAAATTAGTTTGCCTGTCAATGGAAGTGGTGAATTTTGTGATGTTAGTTCATTCACCACTCCCTTCCTCTAGGCCATCCTACATCCCACCCTTTTCCCTTTTTCACACAGTTTTTTGACCCTGGATTGTTGTTTACCACCATTACAGGTTATTAGGCAGCTTTATCAACTAAATTTTGCCTTTCTCATTACTGCCAGGTATTTTCCCACCTTGTCTTCTCCACATTGTTCCACTCCTTCCTTCTTCATCAACTCCCTTGTCATGCCCCCATGCCTGACTGAGACCTTAATGTAGTTTTACATGCTCTCACAATGGCTCTGTTTGAGCCATTGACATCATATTCCTTATACCATATTTCTCTGAAGAAATACTTCTTTCTTCTTCTTACTTGTGGTTGTAGCAGTTTAAATGTGTATGCCATCAATGCTTCCCACACTCTTTCACCATATTTATTTACTCCTCTACCCATACCAGGCCTTTTCCTTAAAACTTTAGATGTTGGGGAAGGTGATTGTTTTTTCTCTCCTATTTACCTCCCTTTGATTTCTCACCTCTGTACTCAATCGGACCCAGACCATCTTCTGTGTCTGGTTTGGGTTGCTCAGTGATACTTGGCACTAATGTCTTCTTTTTTTTTTCAGGGTTTTTATCATCATTTGTTTCTGCCTTGGGACCCCTCTTGTCCAGTTATCTCTCACCTTCTACTCTTACTGGATAGGTCTGCCAATTCCTTTGGTCCATCTATTCTTCCCTGGATATTAATGCTTGCAGACTTTTTCACATTTCATCACATCAAATTTACCACTTGTCTTACTCTCTTGTACCTCATTTTTGCCAACCCTTGGACAAGATCCTCCAGGTTGGCATATGGATGAATCTGCATATGTTTATCTCCCATTATCTTCATTTTCTGGATGTTTTGTCTCCTGCTGGATTTTAACTCTCTCCATTCACTATTCTTCATTCTGCACACTATCTTTTCATCACCCTTTTGCTTTTTACAGGATCCTGCCAGGATGTTGGTGTTGCTTCCCAGATTATGCTTATTTCTCAAAATCCTCATTGGGCCAGGGTTAATGGAAAGCACTCAGTCCATTCACCCTGGCTCTACCAGTGCTCACTGTTGAAATAAGGGGAATCATGCAAGATCACTAGAGGTACCCTTGTGGAATTCAACTAAGTTAATTGCCTGATCCAGTCCATACCTTCCTATTATGGAAAGAGCTGGCACAAGGGAAGCAACTGCCCACGTCTTTGGTTGGTGCTTGCTGGCTTTTCAAAAAGTGTTTTGTGATCACCTATTGCACTGTTTCCAGTAATAGACCTTTCTGACAGGCATCTTAATTCTACCCCTTTTCTTCAAGTTAAGCATAGGAGATCCTCAATACTTGAAAGTTCCTAGCTGCTGTGGTTGCAGACCTTGGAGAGTACCTCACTGATTGTGTACAGCACAATAAAATGGGAAGTAGTGCTGTAATGGCACTGCTTGGATAGTGCAGGTCACCCTTCAAACAACTAGTGTGCTCTCCTCCTGCAGCAGGATGAGTTCTTCACTCCTGTCTGTGCAGTTGAGTCAAGTTCAGACACATCCCATATGGTCTGATTACACCCTAGCCACACTACACTTATTGGCTCACTGACCACTTGTATGTTGATGCTCAGTTGTTTATGCAAAAATTGTGCCCATCCCTGCAACACATCAGGGTTCTTTTGTCTTTCCATTTTTCTTTCTGTGTGAAGAGTATGCCCAGATCGAGACGAGATGCAGTCTTCCATAGGTGTGCCCCTATGGAATCCTTATCATAGACTGTCACAATCCATGAGCTTTCCCTTCAGGCCCTTTCTGAAGGGGGCTCATCTAGGTTTAATGTTTGTCCACCTGCCCCTCCACCATCTCAATGTGATAATCTAGCTGTTCTGGTGTGGAAGTGAGGTATAGTCTCAGAAGTTAACATTTTTCTTTCCTGAAGATGTATTTCTGATAAATACTCACCTCTCACACCTTCCAACCCATCCTCTCCCCTTCCAGTACACTTTCTTCTTGCCTCATCTAAGAATGAAATTATTTTGAGCACAAGTGCATAGGGGGGAGCAACTATGCAAGGAGATTGAGTCTTCCTCCTATTGGTGGAGAGCTATCATCACATGATGACATCATCATGCAATAGTGTAGTTCATGTCATACACATGTTTCTTAGGTGGTCGTTAGCTCAAGGCTAGTGCCATGTGCAAATCTCATAGGCATATGCATGAGAGATCAAGCTATTGTGTATGTGGAGGTATCTTGGGAAATAAATTTTTGGATAAGGAAAATCTTAACTTCAAAATAATGATGTGCTACTTGTTTAACTCAGAAGTACTATTCTATATTGTAATTCAAATTGGGTACATTACCTGTGATGACCGTTTGTGACAAATGTATGAATATTTGTCCACTCATGTAGTGCTCACAATACTCACCGCTACAAGATGAGCATGAGTGGAGGAGGAGGTTACTGTGATTGTGGAGATGAAGAAGCATGGAAAGCACATGCGTACTGTGAAGTGCACTTACAAGGAAAGAGAGAGGTATTTGATAAATGTTTAGTAAATCTATTTCCTGTTGATGAAAATAACTGTGAATGTGTATTTCTCAAATTCTTGGAATACCTCTTGCATTTTTTAATTGAAAAATAACCATTAATTTAGAAGAAAAAAATTAGATTTTTATGACATTGGCACAGATAATTCAATACTATTTGCATTAAGAGATAGAATTCTTGTTTTACAGATGTCTTCTGATTCAAGTCCTATTGAGCGACTTCCTTTGGATCTCATTGAGCGAATACGGATTCTTATGGGGTTTGTTTTATCTTACTGTCATGAGATGTTGACCTGGGAACAGCCAATTTCTCAACCTTCAGATCTTTGTCCCTCAGGGTTTGACACGGCCAATGAAGCTCACGAGACGTATGCTACAATGCTGTTTAATGATGAAATACATACATATGATCAGGTCAAAATTAACCTTCTATCTATCAATATGTGTAAAATTTGTATATAGCCTTTTAACTATGAGATGATGATACATATCAAAACTTAAGATACTATCTTCATATTAAAAGCACATCTTTTTTAAGACTGATTAATCATTGAAAAAAAAAAACAATTTGAGGGTAGTTTTTTTATATTTCAAAAATGTTTATTTTGTAAATATGCCTGAATCATGATACTACAATATTTAAGAGGAAGTATTACAGCATAAGTTCCCAAAGCTAACAATTTTCTATGGTTTAGCAGAATTTCTGAAAATAGATTTATCTGTTAAGTAAATTCAAGTTTGAGATAACTACAAGTTTTAAAATGTACCAACTAGATGTAATCATTTTTAAATACAGAAAGAAATATGAAAGAAACTTTTGTTCATGCATTAAGAAATATATAAATTACTAAGAATTAGCCATTACTTTAAGAACTTACAATGGCATGTTTCCTGAAATTAGTTTTGGTTATTTTCTGTTAAATCAGAGCAAGTGTTTAATTTAGCATGTAGTTAACAGCACTATAAAAACTTTCTCGTACACTTGTATAATGCCACAGAAAGTTAAGCTCAGCAAACATTGAAAAATCTTTGCAAAACTTCAGAAAACTAAAAAAATCCAAAGCAGGTTGATGAGCCTAATTTTTAGGCTTATCTATGAAAAACTTTAGTAATAAAGAAGGATATTTGTATCATCATACAAAAGTGATATCAAAGAATTATTCTCTCATTTAAAGTTTATCCTCTAGCTTTTATTGTGAAAGTGTATCATTTAATTATTAGTCAAAATGGGAAACCTGTAGGGTGAATGTGCTAATAACCATCTAATGCTTGTTGATGCCACATGCATAATTATTGTGTTTAAAAATTTATTTAATATATTTCTGTGGTCTTCTTTCTCCATTTATTAAACTGTCATTTGTTCACACGTATGATCCGTCCTTTTATGAAGTTTGAATATTATTAATCACATGTGCATGAAGTCAGTCCAATGGGCTAATCCTGTATTGGAGAAGGAATGTTGACTGTAATTCCAAATTTATTATGTATATCTACACAAAATGTGGCAGACTTTGAGTAAAATGAAATATCCTGTTGTACACAATAAATCTTGTGTTACAAAAGTATTTATTTTCAAGATATGTCTGTAAATTGATAACACCAGTCTGACAAGTTTTAGTTCATGTGAAGAATAAAAATACTTTGTTCCATCCTAAAGTTTGCATATTGTATTTGCATAACCTCCAGAACTTTTGAACTTCACATCTACAGTATTTTTCAGTATACCTATGAATTTTATCTGGTATTTACTCTCCTCTACCTTTAAGTTCTCTAAATCAGCAATGGAAGGTAAAATGAATAGTTGATAAATCTGATATCAAATACATAATACTGTGTTGAATGTCACTCTGTAAAAGGTTGTGGCATGAGCACTTGACCTTAACATGTACACATAGGGTTAATGAAGACAAACAAATACAAAAATGTATTTAGAACCATTTCATTAACTTTTTCAATGTATTAGTATGGGCCATGTAACCTCTTTCTTTTATTTACTGACAAAGAAAAACAATTTTAAATATATTTCAACTAGTATTAGAGAAATCAAAACTAAGGATATGCTACATGGATATATATTACAGTAAGCAATGTTATCTTATTTGTTAATTTACTGTTCTTATAACTCATTACAGCAGTATTTATTCTACATTATTCATACGTAAAAACATGTCTGTGATAATAAATTCAACCGAAAATAAGTTGGTAAATCTGTGTAAGGCAAATTTTGACTTTAGGTTCTTATACTTGTGTAATCCATTCTTATTTCAGGTTATTCACACTTTAAATCGAGCTATTGAGTGTACTGAAAAGGAAGCCACAGACTATGCGACGATGATTGATAGAGAAGGAAGAAGTATTGTTAAATGTGGTAATTTTCAGAGCTGTAACCAAGTTCGTAATATAATTGAACGCACCAATTCACGCTCGGGGAGAAAACCATTACGGGTTGTGGTGATGCACAGTTCTGTGATAGCACACCAAATCTTTGCTATGAAGTTGTTATCTTGGCTGAAACAGATATTGTCTTACAGTGAAGGTAAATATTTCATAATGTATTGAACCTTTTACAATTACAATTATAGAACAAAACTTGTGTGTGTAAGTAAATGTTTGTATTTACTTCAAAGTACATGCACTGTTTGTTTCTGATTTAGTTCTGTAAATATTCAGTTTCATTTTACCGATTTTAAAAGATAGTTCAATTTTAAAGGAATATGAATAAGGAATTAAAACCTAGTTTTTGTATTAAACAACAAAATGCTTATTTTTGTGGATTACTGTTAAGTAGCTGTATTTTTTATCATAAATATCTCTTTTTATGGTGGTTAACAACAGTGACTTCACCCAAGCCAAAACTGAACTGCATCAAAAAGCATATTTACGTCATATCTATACCTGCATTTTATGAAATTGGTTTCTTTAAATATTAAGCAGGGTATCAATATTAAAAACAAAAAATAATTACTTTTTTGTTCAGTAGAATTAATACTTTCATTTTTTTTGTAAAGAGTGTTTGCATTAAATTCTTCACCGTATGTGCTTTTACCCAAATGTAGATGATGTTGTTATTAGAAGCTTGAAGTTGAGAAAGATAAATCCTGACATACATTTCACAGTAAAAGTGTTATGGAACTTTTTCTGTCTTATTTAAAGCTGGGCATTAGTTGAATTTGATAATCTATTAATCATTGGGTCCATTAATTTGTTATATTCAATTAATCAATTCTTCTCACATGAGACTTTGATAGTTGGAATCATTTACAATATTACTAATCAGAAATATCAATTTTGATTAGTTGATTATTTTCTTCAGTCATGAAACTAATCAACTAGGCTGGACACCCTTGAATTCGTTGAAAACAAAAATGACAATATTTTGATTACACGAGTAGTTGGGATAATTGAAAACAGTAATAATCAAAAATATTACATTCAGTTATCTCAGTTTTCATGACATTCATCAATTTAATCAAAATTTTGATTAATCAATGTAATTGATACTTGTAGTTAGTCAATTATTTGAGTTCATGCCCATCTCTTTCTTGTTGGTCAATTTAAGTAACTTGACTTACTCAGGCTATTCATACAGTGTTACTGCAGATTTTGAGTTCCTGCATTTTGTTCTTTAAGTTAAAATGTATTTTATTTTGTGACAATCTTAACCAATAAAAATCATATAAAAAAAATGTTTTAAATGATTTATTTAATCTTGATAATGAGAGATTTGCATTATTTGCAATACTCATCCTTTTTTCCAAACTTTCAACTGTTTTTTTTTTCTGTGTGGTTTAATATTTATGTTTTATATGCATTTATTTCTTTGACTAGATATTCCACCAAAGATGCATTGTTCTATTTAAAGTAGTATGTCTCAGGAAATATCATGAATGCACTGAAAATAAAATTGTTTTTACAAAGTGGGAACTAAGGCCTTGATAATATATCATAATAACTTCTAATTTTTCCAGTGTTGTTTCTTTTGTATTTAGGCTTTAGTTGTTTAGGTGTTGTTTATATTGGTAAAAAGCTTGTGTAATTTTTTATTTTGTTAGTATGCTTAACTACTAGATAAGTCATGCCAAAAATTGATTACTAAATCTGTGTTTAATTTTGAGAGTGCTTTAGTTTATTGGGAGTAAATCAACTGAGAAAGTTTTTTTTGCTAGAAAGTACCTGTACATATGACTGTAAATTTAAGGTAAAAGAAAACTGACCTAAATTATATTTGACAGAATATTAAAATTGCTTAAATTATTTAATGTAACATACTTTGGTACGTAATGTTAGAGATAGTGTGAATGACATTATGATTTAAGTTTTTAAATGTACTTTGGCTCTTTGTAGTGTCATAGCTTGGAAATGGTATAATGTATGAAAGTAAAATTGGGAGATATTATTATCAGTACATGGGTGACAATATTACTTTGTGTTCAATGTGCCTCCCTCATTCTCAAATATAGCACCTAGTTGAGAAATATTGTTGAAAGCAGCTAGTCACAACATGTCCTGTGGAATGCAGTTGACATCTCATTAGATTGATCCCTCAGCATGGGTAATGATTGGATAGCATCTTGGTGAACCTTGAAGTTGCCACTTAACAGTACACTGGTTTAAGAGCTGCCTTTTCTTGTGGAGTCTTACTGACAGTTCTTGTAGCCAGCATTCAAGTGATTTCAGTCTCTTTTAGCATTTCTTTTTATTTGATTAATTATGCATATTATGTCTCCAATTAAGTACCATAATGGAAACATATATTAATTTCTTTTATGAGCTCCATTTGTCTCCCATGTTCAAATTTTTTCATTTATACATTGTAATGTTTCTCAGCTGCAACACTGTAAAGTGACCAAATGACTTTATGGTATCCCTGTATTTCATATAATTTCCTTTTGTTCTTGTTACTGTTTTTGTTTTCATTTAAATTGAAAAAAAACCTTTTTTTTTCTTAGCTTTTCGTATTATCTTCAGCCAAGTAATGATGGAGTCACCAACACCAGGTTCTCCATTATTAGAAAGTATAATGTTATCTGACACTCAGCTGTGGAAAGCTGCTCGTAATCAGTGGCATCAGCTTTTTATTAGTGGAACACTGATGGACCAACAGTGCAAGAAGACTTTTGCCAGGATATTTACCCATAATTACCCACTTTTGATGAAAGATTTTATTGCTGATGACCATGAGCATTCAGTGTCAATTACTTCACTGTCTGTTCAGATTTTCACTGTCCCTACACTTGCTCATTATTTGATCATGGAAGAAAATGCTATATATGTTCTACTTAGAACATTTTTGACAGAATGTGAAAGAAATCGTATAGATGGGAAATTGTCTTTTGAAAGAAGTCAAAACATTGAATTGTTTCGACGTTCCCAGTTTGTTCTTTTTGACCTTAGATACTTGTTAACTGTTAAACCAAATGAATGGAATACTTCACTAAGAAAGAATTTCCTTCATGGTATTCAACAGTTACTTAATTTCCTAAGCTGGATGCAAGGTATGGACTCTGTGGTAAGACAAGTAGGTCAACATGTAGAATTTGAAGCTGAATGGGAAACTGGTGTTAACCTTCAGTCCAAGCTTGTTCCAGTAATCACTTTGGTCCTAGATTGGTGTGGATCTGATCGTGTTGTCTTAGTTAAAGCTCTTAGAGCTGCCCTAAAGCTTCTAGAGAGCATTCAAGGCAAGATGACTACCACTGTTCGAGAAGTTGCAGACCATTCATCTTCTTGTATTGAATATGATGTTTCTTCTATGCCTGTTACTATTCACTTGCCTCTGTCAAGGTTTGTGGCAGGTTTGATTCTCCATCTGCCAAAGTTTGATCTAACTTACAGTTCACCAGAATTTCTCATACGCAACAAACCTGGTCCTGAGGAACTAATGGAACTTCCTTTACGAACACAGGTTATGATAGCCCAGTTCAGAGCAGGAATGTGGAGGAGAAATGGATATTCATTGTTGAATCAAGTATTTTTCTATCATAATGTTCGACTTCGTGATGAAATGTTAGATCGTGATATCATGATGCTTCAGATAGCTGCTTCTCTGATGGAAAGTAACAAGTTTCTTATTCATCTTCTTAACAAATATGGGCTATTGATATGGATTGGAGATACTTTTGATACCTCACAGCGCAGGACAGAGGATGAGTATACAAGACAAACTGCTACTATTGCTGAAGAATTTTTGGGTTTACTCATTATTATCATATCTGAAAGGTACTACCCAGGTGTTGGAAATGTTACTGAAAGAGACAGAGTTAAAAAGGAAATAATTCAGTTGCTTTGTATTGAACCCATGACGAATAGCCAACTTTGTAAGATGTTACCGAAAGACCCTAACCATGAAACTGGAATGGAAAATGTTGTTAACGAAGTAGCAGACTTAAAAAAAACCACTGATACTTCCACTGGTAAATATGAATTGAAACCAGAATTTTACTCTTGCTTCAATCCATTTTTTTATCACTACACTCGGGAAGAGCAATCCAAAGCTGAGGAAGTCCAGTTAAAAAGGAAGAAACAAACGGGAGAAGAAGAATGTTGCCCTCCTCCATTGCCTTCAGAATTTTCTCTTCCATTTTCAGTCATCATTAATCTTCTACAGTGTGATGTAATGGCTCACATAATGCTTGTGGTATTAAAGAGAACACTTAATCTTCATAGCACATCATATTCAGAAGGTCAATTTGAGAAAGTTTTACATATAATAGGTTTAGCTTTGCATGAAGAACAGCGACAGCAAGAACAAAAAGAGGAAGGAGGGTTCTTTCAGTTTACAAAAATGGCAGAAAAAAAAGGCATTCTGGCTGACTTAGAAAAATGCCAAGGGTCTCCACGTGTAGAAGCACACAAGGATCTGTTAAATTGGACATTACGAAAGTTTCGTTCATTGCAGAGAAGTGAAGGAAAGGCTATGGAGGTGGATGTTGAATTTCCTCCTGAAAATACTGCTTCTACTAGTAGAAAACGAGATAAGAAACAAAATGCCCAGCAAGCTGCAGCTCGGCGAGCTCGAATTATGGCACAAATGTCAGCCATGCAGAAGAACTTCATAAAACAACATGCTCAGTTGCTCAAAGAGGTCGATGCTGAAGAATCATCTAATCAAACAGAATCTGATATTTTTGTACTCGAGGAGAGCAGTGATGATCCTGTAGCCTTAGGAAACCTTCAGAGAGGAAAAGTAATCTCTAGACAAACACATACCTGTATTCTGTGCAGAGAAGAACAGGAAGCCAGCTTGACTGGAAGAACTCTTGTAATAGGTGCATTTGTTCAGAGATCTACAGTCTTATCTAAGAACAGAAATCATAGATTAGAGGATCCTAAAGAATTTAATCCTCTCTTGATATCAGCTGATTTATTCTGTGGTCCACACACCAGCACATGTGGCCATGTTATGCACAGTGATTGTTGGCAAAAGTTTTTTGAAGCAGTAGTTGCAAAAGAAAGGAGGAGACCTGTTAGGTGAGTTAGTGCTTCTAGGTATTAAAATATGTTGATATATTTTGTAATGATGGTGTGTTTGATTACTGGGAAAAATCATTGAGTGTAAGAATGAATAACATTGTTTTTTTGTCTTCATCACAAGTTTTTGAAGCTCCGGTTATGAAAACCAGAAAAATTATTATTTTGATGCACATCATTCAAAATATTTATAGTTAGTACAGTCTATTCTGCATAAAACTCCTCTAAAACAAGTATTTACATTTTTGGAAGCTTTTTTTTTTTCATTTTAAGTAAAACTAAATTTATTTAATTATTCATGATTCTTTTCTCACACATTTAACAAGAATTAAAAAGTTTTATGTTTTTAGGTATGGTCGTCATGTGAGTTTCAACGTAGATAAACAAGAGTTTTTGTGTCCTTTATGTGAGTGTCTTTGCAATACAGTAATTCCACTGGTGCCTCCAATCACTACTTTGATTGTCAATAACACAGAGAAACCAAACAACATTAAAATAGATGATTGGTTGTTTAGTCATCGAAAAGCAGTGGAGAAGCTTCAGGTTCAGAGATTTAGAGCTCTGCCGTCTAATGGTAAGTACAATGTGTATTCAGCTTTTTACTTATTGTTCTTTATGGTATGGAAAGGTAGTGCTTGATATATAGGTATTTGGTTCTCTTAATGTTCAGTTGACAAAATAATAAAATAAAAAATATAATCGTAGTTTATACAAACATAGATCATATTTATTAAGTAAAACTGTCATGATAAGTCTTTCAAGGAGGCTGTCTACAAACAAGTAATACCTGACAATATAACTAAGGTGCTTGTTTGGGTACATCTTGCCCCAAGGGCAAAACTGTGCCATTGAATTAAATAATTATACGAAATGAACTTCTTCCGCACACTTAAGAAGAACAATTTCAAAGTTGAAATTCATTAAATAGAAAGTTGTATTTATTTATCTAATTTTATACACATATATAAAAATTTAAAATTTTGATTGATTACAGTGCACTATTAATGAAAGCCTCAATACTTCTGAATTTCCTGAAATTTTTCTGAGCATAATATGGCACTCATAGCCCTCTAGGTGGAAGGTTGAAATAATTTTGAACATTGTAATTCAATACAAAAGTAGTTTTATTGATTTAAACCAATTATTGTTTCTCAACCTTGGTTGTCATGGTATGAATAAACTGTCTGTATCTCAGCTCTGAGAAGTCATATACTTGTGAGCTAAACAAGTAATTAAAGCTCTTTTTAAGTGCTTCAGCCAATAAGGCTTCCAATTCTCTAGAAACCTGTGTATATATCAGAACAATGTGATAAAAACTTGGTGTTATGTTGCTAGAGGGAAAGATCTTTATGAATAACTTCTGTCACAATCTTAAATCCTGAATTTTTTTTTAATTTTATATTAATTTCAATTATGATGTTTCAGTGTGATTGGAAAAGAAATTTTTTTCTTGGGACAAGATGAGATAGAGAATTGCTAGGCATAGTTATATCATTTTGCACTCAACCATACCAACTTTTTTTTGCTGTCTTAGGCTACTGTTTGTTAGGTTGTGTTTACATTAGGCCTTATCATCCTAAATAACTGTTTGAATTGCCAAAGAAAATAATTGAAAAATTATGTAAAAATGTATGTAGATAAATATAAACTGTGTTTGTAACTTATCACATTTATTGAATGTAACCTTCTGATCAACAATTAAAAAAAGCAAGTAAGTTTACTTGAAACTTTGATATGATAAAAATATTTTTATTTACACCAGTGATTGTAAACACAGTGAAACTGCAAGATAAGATAAAATTTACATTATTATAGATAAGTATTTTTAATTGTTTCTTAAAAAAAACATTTTACAGTGAATTTTTTTTTTACTTTTCAAATATGCAAATGCATATCAATATCACATATAAAAATATTATATTTTATTTCTCATAAGCTACTAAGCTACATAATCTGTACAAAATTCCTCTCAAGTTTCAAACAGTTGCATCTTTTGTTTTTCAGCGAGATAAAACCATACAACAGATGCATAAAACTGACATCCCTGGGCATTTAACCCATTCACTGCCAATAGGAAATATATCTCCTAGATATATTAAAAGGGTTAAAGAGTTCCAAAGCTATCTGTTAATAAGTATTAATTACAATCTCTTGTAGTTATCTACTAACAATAAGTGTTTAAGAGCTAATCATAACAGTTATCAATTGAAGGCAACTTATTAACAAGTAAAAAGTTACCTACTGAGAAAAGTCGTTGGTTACTATGTAAGGAACATAATACCCAAAGGAAAGTTTCTGTTATGAAGTAGGTCGTACTAATAATTATACTTTAAAAAGAAGCTCACCAGTACTTGACAGTCTTATTTATTTCTGGATTTAACTTATTAATGGCATAGGCCTCTTTGATTCATAAAACATGGTAATTTTAGGCAGTTCCAATAATTTTAAAGTGCTCAATAATTGGAAGTGCTGAAAATGACTATGCTTTACAAATTAAATAGACCTTGGCCATTAAAATCTTGAATCTGGAATTAAATAGGCAGTCAAACTTCTTTTGAAAGTATAATAAAAATTAAACATTTAACAACTACTGATTATTTGTCAAGATACCTAGGATAAATACATAAGTATGTAACTTTATTACATCGAATTGTGCTTATTCAAATTTTGTGTTATTTTAGATGATCAAGGAGAGAAAATCCTTTATAGATATAAACCAACTCCTCTTAAGGAGGTGATGGCTTCTCTCTCAACCGATAGTAGTGAACAGTTCCATTCATTGTATGCAGTTTATGCTCAACAGTGTGCAGCTGGTAACAACTTCCCAAACAGCCTGCTAGACATGATGAGAGTTTTTTCTCAAGCTACTTACATGGTATGAACATTAAACTGGATCAGGATAGTCCAGAATTGGTACACCTTAGAATCCTAAGAATTTTCTTTTATTGTATAGGAAGCTTGAGAATTATTCAGTAGGTTTCTCTTAGGATATGAAATTTTTTTCAAGACTATATGTGGAGTGATTAATATATATGATATTGCATGAAATTTCTCTTTTCTTTATTCATTCAATGTGTGAGGGTATTAGGTACACAGGTTTCAGGTGTCTAAAAGTAATAGTTTCAGTGGCAAGACAACTCTGACAATCTTCTGCTTTTTTTTTTCTTGTCTACTTGTTAGCTAAGTAAGAATGTACAATGTTTAGTGATGTGCCATTTTTGGACCAGTGTGTATTTATTCAGTCGTTACTGTTTCTATATTTTATCTTTTTTTTTTTTTTAAGACACTTCAAGTAATATCTTTGTATAGTATATGTACATTTTTGTGTAATTGTAATAGTATTTTAATTAATTAATCCATGTAATTAAATGTATGTATTTTAAACATTTTTTCTACTGCATACTTACTGTTTTTCTTTTAATGTTTTTTTTTATGTATTCTAGAACTGAGGGGTGTGATTACTTATGAGCAGCAATAACATTAATTAATGTCATGTAAACTTATTGATTAATTGAAATTAATTGTTTGTATTATAACTATTTTTGATAATCCAACAGTCAATTAATCAAAATTGCAATTACATTGATTATTTTAATTATTCAAGTAATTAAAATATTGCTATTATGTTTGTTGTTAAGCACAAAACTGTAAAATAGGCTATCTGTGCTTTGCCCAAATTTAGCCTTGTAAGCTGTTGGATTTTATTTTTTTTTTACTTCAACTTTGCTCAGCTTTGATAGGGACTCATGATTTGAAGGTTTTGGGTTTGATTCCTGTTGCCACCAAACTTGCTTACCTTGTTTTTATAATGGAAAAACTATTAAAGTTATTTGCCACTGTCAGTAATTTTGAACTGCTGACTAGAGGGAAGACAACTGTCTGGCAGCACTTGCCACTAGTTGTTTTTTATTTTTTTGTGAACTGATAACTAGAGGGAAAACAACGTTTTTTTTGTATTGTTATTGGTTTAAGGTTTTTCTTATATGTTACATATTCTTTGTCATTTCACAAAGTATGTATGGTACCCCTATAGGTTATTAATTGTGAAGTTGAACATTACTTATAAAGATACAGAGAATATATTTATATATGTGTATATGTTGTTTCTCTATAGGTAGGACTTGAAGCTCATCCTAATCCAGATGATGATAGAGTTCCTCTTATGACTTGGTGGTCTTGTGCTTATACAATTCATTCTATAGAATGGCTTTTGCGAGATCAGAAAAAATCCTTGTTTGGTGACCTGTCGTCTCGTCGAGCACATTGCATGCAGACTTTGGTGCGTGTTGTAGGAGCCAGTACCTCCATCTTTGATGCTCAGGTTGTGCGTAACCATTGCGTGAGTCTTTTACAATACCTTCTGTTGGCAGAAGAACATTCCTGCAGTTCTAGCTGCTGCCTGGAAGTAGATGCCTTCACTTTGCTGGTGTTTGTGTGTCTTTCCATGCCTGTTCTTTTCACAGCAGATGATCATGAAAGCAACAGTGGTTTGACATTTCCTGTAGGTGGTGTGAATGAGCTTTATATATTGCACCTGGTGTTAGTGTTTCATTTGGTGCAGATATTTCTTAGCATTGATTTTCCTTTTCTTGAAGAGGCTGAAACTAGTGAAGCTCAACACAAAGAGACATCGGAAGAGGTAGCAGTTTGCCATTTCTACATTGAGGTCTTGACTGCAGCAGGAGTAGAAAACTGTAAAAATCCTGTGAATGCACAGAAGCTACTCAAAACTATTCACCAGGCTATGCTGCCCTTTCTCCGCTGCTCTGCACTTTTCTTTCATTTTCTTACTGATGTAGAAGCTCCTAAGACTCTGGCTGGTATGCATAGTGAAGAATACCAGTTTCAAGCACTGTGCTGGTATCTTGGTCTTTCAACTCGATTAAATGAAATATTACAATCTCCTTCACTTCGACAGCTAGCCTTATGGTAAGTTCCTAAGCATTTTATTTTAAATATTTATGTGTTTTGCAAACCATTTTGTAAAATACCAAAAATAGTGAGTTTTACCACTTTCAGGGAATTTCACCTCTCAACAGTAATTCTGAACTAGAACAAATAGTAAAAACAACCCTGTTTTAAAATATTTCTCACTGCTAAATACATCTGCACTAAAGAGAGATTTAGAGTCAGCAGTATTTCCAATACTACTGAATTCCGTAACTATCATGAACCATGATAGTGGTTCATAATAGGGACCTCATAGGAATTTGCTCAAAACTGATACAACACATTCAGGCAAAAACCACCTTAAAAAACAGACTTATTCTTGAAACAACACTCAATACCTATATTTCCAATAATTATAACCACCCAAATGTTGATAATAAGCAAAGTAAATGATTTCATGATTGTTAAACAAAATCAAAGTTTGCTCATGTGTTCATGTTATTGTTTCACAAACTTACAGCAAAATCAACTGGGTATTTTGCATCAAAACCTATACATATACTATATGAAGTGATCTGAATGTCCATGACCTATTTAAAAGTTGATTATTTTTCATTGAAAGTTTATTTACATGGTTTGTAACTACGTAATATATGCGATGTGGTTGTGAGCGGCTGTCTTTGTAATTGACGGTTTTTAAACTTGTGTTTATACGAAACTTCAGTCACAAAACCACCTGGCTTGGTAAATAATGTTTGAGTGGAAAAAAAGCCAACACAGCAATAAATTGTTAAAAAACATGTAACATTCAATTGAACACATATGCACACATGTAGCTTAAAATTATTCACCATAAATGAACACAAAAAAAAAACTTAAGAAACAAGATTAGTAAAATTTGTTATTTTAGAAATGGGGGGTATAGGGATCGTCAAACAAATACAGAAACAAGTTGAATCGAGTGCAAAGATTACATTTTCAAGCCTACAACTAGGGACTCAGAAAAAAAAAGTAAACAAACTAGGCTGGAAATAGTATCTACATTATTTTCTCAAGCTACAATCCCTATTTTGGTTCCAAGTCTACAGTACATATCAATTTTAGTGGAGTCAAATAGGTATTTGTAGTTAAGAAAATAACGTAAGAACTATTTCCAATATTGTATGCTCACTTTTTTTAAGAGTCCGTAGTTGTAGGCTTGAAAATATAAACTTTGCATTTCGATTCAACTTGTTTCTTTACTTTTTTGATGATCTCTATTCCCACCTTTTAAGTCAACAATGTTTACTAATCTTGTTGAAAAAAAGACTACTGTCTACAAGGGATAAAGGTATGTAATATTTAAAAAAAATTGAAAACTTCAATTATATGATTTGAATTAATTGCTTTCAAAGAGACTTCATAATTGATTTTTTTTTGCTTCAATCCAACCCAAGTAAGACTTGTTAAGTCTTTTAACACTTTGTTGTTTTTTTATATGAAATGTTGAAGAAATTACAAACATAATAAGATAAAATTTTACAACATAATTCAGGTTGTAACTAGATGTGTTGTAATTCTTTTTTATCTTCACTTTTTGTGGTAGTGATTAGATGTGGCATTTATTAATTAAAGAAAAAAATCAACGTTGTCAGTAGCTTAAGTTTTGCACTAGTAGCTTCACTATTTAATCGTGAAATTGCATTGCTACGAAAAAATTACTATGAATGTATGTATGTGTGTGTTTTAATAATTCAGTTTTTGTTAATCGGTAGAGACATCCGATTTGGAATAATGAGCAGTTTCTAGTAGCTATACTATTAAAATAACTCTACTTTATAATTCTGGTTTTCTAAATATTCATTCACAAAATGTAAAAAAAAATCCTGTGACAAAAACTGCATATTGACGTTTGTTATGAAATATTGTCCATAGGTCCCTTTGTAAATGAGTATGTCAAAAATGTTTCAATATACTTAAAGTTAAAATACTTATCATATAAGCATGAATTAATTGTTTTTTGTTGTTCAACTTGAAATGGCAAATGAACTGACTTGTAAATTAATATGCACTGAAGTTGTGTTATATTGTTAACGCTTCAAATATGCATAAATATTTTTATATTGTTGTTAAATATGAAGTAATACATTTATCTGTTCTTACATATCAGAATCACAATGTAAGGTGTCTTATTTTTGTTATTTTAGAATTATTTAAAGGTATGTATGATGTACTGATTTGTTCATAAGTTACATTGTCATATGTTCAATAGCTGGGCTCGTCATGCTCAAGTGTACAGTATGGTTAACCAAGAAACCTTACAGATGGATGAAGAAGACGCTCCACCTCCTAGATCGATTGTTGTCAAGCATCCCATTTCAATCAATCAACTTGTGTGCCTGCCTTCTGATTATAGTGAACTAATCAATAATGTTTCTGTGTTTACTTGTCCAAATTCTGATGGAGAAGATAGCCGATCTCCCACTATGTGCCTCGTTTGTGGCCAGATACTCTGTTCTCAAAGTTACTGCTGTCAGACAGAGTTAGAAGGGGCCATGGTTGGAGCATGTACTTTCCATGTGCAAGTTTGTGGTGCTGGAGTTGGAATCTTTCTAAGGATTAGGGACTGTAAGATACTTCTCCTTGTTGGTAAAACTAAAGGTATAGTATTACAGTTTAAACTACATACAGTTTGGCATGCATTGATATCTGAAAAATACTTTGTTAATGCATTATGGTATTTCGTGCATATATTCTAAACATCAACAGAAACATATAAAATGTTATAGTCAACAATTAACTTACTTTAGAAACAATACTATGGGTTGATTAATAACATTGTTGCTCAGTCTTATATTTATATTTTTACATTTTCTTTACCTTTGTACAGTTCTTCTGTAGAATAATGATCATAATGGATATTTTTATTTCATAGTGTATTTAATACAGATTACAACATGGCTTTAGAGACTGATCGACTATTACACTAAGATCCCTTTCCTTCATAACACTATTAAGGTTATTCCCATCCAAATTTTACTTATAATTCAAATTATGATAATCTACATGAATTATCTTGCATTTTTTATAATTAAAACCCATCTGCCACTTATTTGCCCAACTCACTAAATGATCAAATCCTTTTGTAAATCAGCAGCATCCTCCTCACAGCTAATAACACCCAAGACCTTAATATCATCTACAAATTTAAATAATTTATTGACTCTTCATTTATCTGTGTCATTGATGTAAATCAAAAAGAGCGCAGGTCCTAAGACTGAGCCCTGAGGTACCCCACTTGTGACATTAATCCAGTTTGACTGAACTCCATTTGTAACAACCCTCTTCCTTCTTCCATCCAGCCACTCTTCTATCCAATTTGCTAACTCATCCCCCTCACCTATAGAGCTAATTATTTTTACAAGCCTTTTATGTGGCACCTTGTCAAATACTTTCTAAAAATCCAGATACACCAAATCTACACCCTTACCCTCATCTACACAAGCAGTAACCTTGTATATTGGCTTGTAAGATAAATCAGGAAAACAATTTTGATGGTAGAAAACATTTATTGACAGCAAATGAGTTACTTTTACGGCTGGTTTTAATAAAGAAATCATAGAGAATAACTCTTAATCAGACTTCTTCACTTAATATGTTTGTCTGAACATTCATTTATTGTTGAGATTTTACTTGTCACTTAGCCAGACTGTTGCTGATTTTTGTCATAGTCATTTTATTCCAACCATACTGAATACCTTGTTGAGAAAAGAATAGATAAAATCCACTTATGTCAGTATTTTTCTTCCAAAGTTTTTGTATACATAGAGCACGTTCTTGAATCCTACAGTCGTTGAAATTTTAGTCGAACTAGAAGCTATGGATAACTAATTATAACATTTAAAAAGTTGGAAATTACATTTGTTACAAAAAATAGTGCTGCTGAAGGTATATCATGTGTTAAAATGAGAACAAAAAAAAAACAGTCAACAACGTGTTTAATGTTGTTGTAATGACAAGCTTACAGTGTAAGAGTTAATAGTTTGTATTGTTAGTGTGAAACCTTGATTGTGTAATGAATATCTGTGTTCATAGTACCCCACTTGTCTTACTCTCACTTTCTGTTGCATTTAATAAGGTTTTATAATATTTTCTAGTCAGTTGTTACTGATAGTAATAACGATATACAATAGAAAGTATTTATAGTTGAATTTGACATTGTGAAATTTCATTTATTAATTTAAAACAAATTGGTAAGCTGAAGAACATGTATGTAATATATACATATTATATAGTACCAATTAACTGAGTGCTGTTATTATTTTTTTAGAATTTTGTTAGTATTAATTTTAATATTTGATTCAAATTTCTGTTTTAAATTGCATGAATGGATTATTTGAAAGTAAAATTACTACAGTGAAGTAGATTGAAGATCTTTAGTAAGTTAGGACCGTACTGCCTGATAACAAAGTAAACACTAAAAATGCCTATTAACTTGTTATGTTACTGGTAAATTATCAGTCTTCAAGTCTTACATTTAAATGATGTGAGGTTGACTAATTTATCAGGAACATATTTTACAAATGAAAACAAACATTTGTGTCACACAGAGTGGAGAGACGTACTGGTTTTGCATTGTTTCTTCTTTATTCCCTTTTGTTCTTCTTTCAAACACTTTCTATTTAACCATCGTTCCTTCGTTTCTTGGCAGTTTGACTGAAACTTGGTAGGATTATACCTTGGTCCAATAAGCCTAGATACTTTTTCTTTTTTTTTTTCTAGTTTTAGGTTTAAAGTTAAAGGATGGGACAGCCTAGATGGACCAATAGGTCCCTTGTTGCTTAAATATTATGTCATGTTGTAATAATAATTCATAATTGTGTGGCAGCTAAGAATCGGTAGAATTATCGATGTACTGCTGTCTATGATGATGATAATGTAAGATGAAAATTGACACAAATATAAGTTTTCATGCAACCAACATATTGACATAAAAAAGTTGGATTTGCGTGTTTTGAATGTTTTTAGGGGGTTTAGCACTCACAAAAAAAGTGTAATTTTGGGGTTCTTGGTCAATTACTTAGCCATATTTTGATCAGTTTATGTGGGATTTAGTACAAAGATACTTTTTATACAGATCCCAAACAGATATGTAGACCGTTTTGAAATTTTTATCTTTTCCTTGATTTTTAGTGAGGAAAGTACAATTTGGGGTTTTCATGAGCTATTCATGCATATGTAAACCAACTTACATGAGATTTGGTACAAAGATACCTTCTTGATAGTCCTAAGAAGTGATATAGACAGTTTTTGATTTTTATGTTTTTCATGATTTTTCTGGTGTCAGAATTGGTTATGTTGGGAGTGCATGGTGGAAACATGTTACATTCCCCTGAAAATGTTGAACTGTTTGTGATCTAGTGATTACCATGTCAGACTGTGGATTGGGGATTCAAGGTTCAAGTTTTGATATATTCCTGAATATGCTTCATACATTCTGATTGCTCTACCACTGGTCAGTAGTTCTAAATTAGGGTTCTCTGACATGGTTGATTAGCCCACGTTTTGTAAATAATATGCCATTCAGGTTGAAAGTCCCAAATAGCAAAATCTTTGAAGAAACTACCTTCAGATATCTAATCCAAATATCTTAATGCTTGTTTCTATATGCCATAACCTTCTATAATAAAGTTCAAAAATTTTAAAACACTATGTACATATATATATATTATATATATATATATTAGAATAAGTTATGAAACTAAGTTTTAATCAGTATAGCTTGGCTAATAAGTTCTTTTTTCTTTAGGCATATTTGCTGATCTACTTCTTGTAACATGTTTACATGCAGGCAACTTCCAGAAATGTTGTGAATAAAATTGTTTTTATGTGATTTCATTTTGTACTTTGTTTTCTTTTTCCTTTGCTTAATTGTAGTATCTGCCCTATGTATCTCGATGTATCTACACCTTTTCAACCTGAATCTTTTTTACAATGTTTCTGTATTTCTTTTTTTTTTCTTCTTCAGGGTGCTACATGCCCCCTCCATATGTAGATGAATATGGTGAAACAGATCAGGGACTGGTGCGTGGAAACCCTCTTCACTTGTGTAAAGATAAGTATAGAGAACTGCATCGCCTGTGGCTTTCCCATGGAATACCAGAACAAGTGTCTCATACTTTAGAACAGTTGCCTGCTCTCACCACAACCAACTGGTTCCTTCTTTAATTACAGCTTAAAGTCTAAACCAGAACAGCCTTTCTTCTTTTGTACACTATCAAGAGAGAAAGCATTTCTGTTACCTCTCTCATCAACATGTCCTTACTACAAAATTTTCCTGAGATTTTTTGTTCTTGATAATATGAAAGACATATTATTAAGCATGGATATCGAGAACAATGAGAGGCAACAGCTTTAGGGTCATTATCTAAAAACATAAAAATATAAAAAAGTGTTTTTACCAGAGACAAGCTGGAGATACCAGCAAATATTTACACAGAATTCACAAGTTATGACTGTGAAAATCCATAGAATTACTTTTTCTATAGGTATGGTAACGTGTTTTAACAAACATATTGTTTTTATTTACCGTTTATCAACACATAATCAGTAAGTTTTTACGAAAAATGTTTGACATTTATTGCTTGTCTTGTAGAGCAACCACTGAAAATAACATCTTGAAGTTTGCAATTCTGCTCTTTTGTCTAATTGGTATTTCTTGATGAAACAACTCATCATCAATACATAGTGTAAACCAGATATGACAATGAAAAAAGTACGTGGATTGTTTTATCTTCTCTTATAGACTGTATTATAGTAAGTACCTGATTTCTTTACTTGAGTCTTTTACAATTTATCAAACACTTTTATTGCAAACATTTTGTTTTAATATTCAGTGCATTAATATAGGTTTAGGTATATGACCATGATAGCTTGTCTTTAGTCTTGAGTCATTAAAACATATAATTACAGGTGTACACTAAATATTGCATCATTGTTAGGTCTTTTTAAAAGTGACTATCAGTATAGTTTCAAGAGACTCAGTATAGTTTCCACACAACAGAACACATAAGTCAACAAGCTTTGGCTCTCATCATTTATAACTGTAAGTGTATCTTAAAATGTGCTTCTTAACAGGTATTTTAATACTAACTTTAGGTACAATTTCTGTATCCCATAACACATACTTTTCTAACAGTTTTGCTTTATCTCATTTGGAAGTATAGTTTCTGTGACACTATATATATATATATATGTGTGTGTCTACAAGCCCTTGGTCTTTTTTCGGTAATTGTAAATTCACTTCCCGTATACAATGACGTACATTTCAGCAAGCTTTCATACTTCCTCGTAGTGATGATAATTTTTTTTTTTGCACATCTTAATATTATATATACTTGTATATTACCTTTGACTCTTCCCATCTGTATATACAGTTTCTGCACACCATAATTTATTAGTACACGCACTATGCTTCATAGCATTTCACTAGTAAAGGAACAAGGTTAGATATGAGTTGTATCTGTACATTATTCTTCATACTTACATGTCTGTATTTCAGATTCAAAATGCTACATACATGATCTGGTTTTAAAAATATCTGTAATGGTGGGCCTCTCTGCCTTACATAGTATTTTATCTATTTTCCATTTTAAATTTATATAAACTTCACATTATATTGTCTTGAAAACTGACATTTTCTTGTTGTTTGAATCCTGATCACAAATGTTTTTTTTTCCCTCTGTAAATCTCCTTGACAGTTCATACATCCATATCATTCTGTGATGAAAAGGTCTGTAACATTAAAAAGTAAAAAGTTCCTTTACCACATGATTTTCTCTAGGTGAAAGCAGAGTAAGTATGAAGTGTTATTTTTTGTTAATTTTTTTCCTTCTTATTTAACTGAGTTTTCTGAGCATTTAAATTTGGATATGTAATATGTGGTTTGCAGAGCTTCTTTTTTTATTTGTATGTATGTTTGCATATATGTTATTATCTACAAAATATTATTTCATAGTTTTTTTGTTTTATTTTTTTGAAAAGCTAAGGTAGACAATATAAATTTTACAGGGTTAAAGGAAAACTTGCATGCTAATATCTTCGGTAAAACATGTATGTTAAATTTGTCAAATGGATACATATATGCAAATGTATTAATTTTGTTAAAAGTTTTACATACATGCTGTTTCTTTTTGCAGTTCTAAAACTTCAAAGAAACTTATGTAGCCTGTAAGATAATTTCATGCAATTGAGTCAGGTTTTTTAGTGTAAAGGATAAGAATATATTCTTGTACATGTTGGTAAAAATTGCATTAAAAATTATTGTAAAATTCTCATTACTGCATGTGTTCAAAATAAAATGGCTGTCGGAAGTTTGGACTGTTGTTATACAGGGAGGGAAAAAGTTACTATATATATTTGGTATTGTATGGTTGGTACTAAAGAAAATATTACAAAGACAATTGAAACCAATTTAGTAATTGTTTATTTTAGAGTAATAGTTAGAAATTAAACTATGCTCTAAACAATAATACTGTGTAGTCACTTTTGCCCCACCCTATATAACTGGAAAGTACTTCTACATGTAAGGAAGGAAGGAACCTCAATGATGTTTTATATTAAGCAAAATTCATGTATGTTAAACAGGAAAACCATATTCAAAGATGTAAAAATTTTAGGTAATGTCTTGTTAATTGTAAGACATTACTATTATTTAACTTAAATTATTATTCCTAAAACTGTCTTATTGCATATGAAGTATTAAGGAAATAACTATTGAAAGTTTGACCAACCAGACAGTTTTATTGTGTTTTTTTAATTTAGGTAAAAGTAATATGTTTTCTTCAAAAATTTAAGTTTCTGAATTTCTAAAGATTTATTTTTCTTATTTGATAATGTATGGGCATCTCATATCTGGTTGTCAAAGTAGAGTGTAATTTCTGTAAACATGGAAGTCTCACTAGAAGCATTTTGCAAAAGTTCAAAGATCATCATTCTAGAAGTATAGAATAACATAAAAGGCAATGTTACAATGTCTAGGTTGTTATGTAAAAGTGTTTAGCGTGTATACATCCAGAAAAAAGAAAAACATACCTTTTTTATTTAATTTCACTGTGGGCTGAAAAAAATGTATTTTGTAATTGGAATTGTAAAGATTTGTAGAAAATAAATGGTAATACTGTTATTTTTCACAGCAAAGCTCAAGAATTTCTATTGAATGGTTTATGTGGTAAGTACACACTAAAGCTGAATAATGAAAACAGTAGGTGTACTTATGTTTTACTAGTATCAAACTAATGTGTTACAGGAATTATTTCTCCAGTATAACCTATCATTCGAATGTCTTGTGTTTCCTAGTTAATGTATAGTGATAAAATTAGAATTGCTTGTAACTATGATATTTTATATATTGCACATGGGTCCTTGCAATGCATTGACTGACATATGACTTGTGTTGATTAATACTGACCTAATACAGTGTAGATTTATCTGCAATGTCTTGATTATCAAATCTATAATTATTATTTTATATCAAAGGAATTTTCATTTTTGTTATTACTTAGCGATATAGAGTTATTATACCTGAAATCTTGTTTATCATAGATAAATGTGAATAATGATGCATTTTATTCAGGCTGCTAAAAAATAGGAATAACAAAATTTAAACTGGATAAGGACAATACTCGATGACAGAAAATTGACCTTAATTGAAATTGGACTGTGTAAAAACTGTAGTGGAGGTGGGGAAAATGTAGTTTTTCGGTGTGTTTATATGTAGGTATAACAAACAAAATCTGTAGAATTAATATGTAGAAATCTTATTTAAAGTTACTTTGCATGGTATTTGAATAAAATATGTTGAAAACATTTTGCACTTCTCTCTATAAGTTTTATGTGTGTTGCTCTTACATCAAAAATTTGCACTTACTCTGCAAGAATGATTACAAAGCAGTTGTAGCTGAAGTTGTGAGTGTTAATGTGTGTTAAAGCTTGAAAAATGTATTCATGCTGTAAATAAAATGAAAAAAAAATGAAAGGTCTTTCTCATGTCTTTCTTATCATAAACAAATGAGTGTCAGTTACATAGTAAACTTTTATATATTTCATAGAAAAATAAGTGCAAGTAGAATAAGGCTTATCAACTGTGAATTATGATCTTAGTTTATAGGTAATACGACTGAATACAAACCATATAACAATACTAGATTTTAAACAAAGCAACAAAACAAATTAGTATTCAAAACTTGTTAAGTAGAAATAGGAGTACTACTTAATATACTACACATTTTAGTATAAACTAGCAAAATTCTATGAGGCAGAAATCTTAAACCATAGGTAAAGCAAAGAATTTTGCATACTGAAATGTAAAAGTTAAGTAGTAGGTGATGATTCCAGGAGCTGTGTTGACAGGCATTGACCCTTTGTGTGAAGGTTAGCTGCCTTGAAGGAGAGAGGTCCTGGGCTCCTTTATTGACATTATTATTGACCCCTCGTGTGAAGGTTGGCTACCTTGAAGGAAGGAGGAAGAGAGGTCCTGAGCTCCTTTATTGATGCTACTATTGGCCTTCGGGTTGTATACTTTCGTATTAGTTCTTCATTTGTTGTTTTTCTTAGCTACATTATACAATGCTTAGTTCCCCAGCAGTCTCATTCTGTCTGAATGTTGATGAAGACCTTCTTCGGTTGCCAATTCCACCTTACTTAGTGCAGAGGAGGTAGATGTTCTGCCTGTAGAGTTATGACAGATTTGATATAGGGGCTTCTTATATGACTATGTGAGTTTCCTTGTTTAGCCTTGCCTGGTACATACATCCTTGTGATGGTATTACTGTGCAGTTGATTTATATTCTGCCACCTATCTGGGGACCAACTACTGTGAATTTTACATGGTACTGATGTGATTCAGTTGCAAATATAATAGTGATACTATTTGTGGCAGGGTAGAGTGAATGAGACCATTAGAGTACAACTAGGTGACAATCTTCAGCTCTATTGCTGCAACTTTCAGTACACTTATATTCTTGGTAGTTTTGGTTAATATGATGTTCATGTGGATGGTAAACTGTAATTGTCTGTCAAACGTTACTCTGATGTACTTCAATGTTTTTTCCAGAGGGATGACAGTGCCTCTAAAGGATTGTGATGGTTTGTCCTCATCAACATCTGTTGAACTTGGCAGTAGTTTTGACAGGATTTTTGACCATTCCTGTTTCATTGCACCATTTGCTTGCTTACCCTTATAAGAGATGTTTGAATCTTGCTTTTGATTTCAGCATTGCTGGAGCCTCTGCTAGGGGCAGCATGGTCTAATGGTTAATGCTTTGGCAGTAGTTTTGACAGGATTTTAGACCATTCCTGTTGCATTGCACCATTTGCTTGCTTACCCTTATAAGAGATGTTTGAATCTTGCTTTTGATTTCAGCATTGCTGGAGCATCTGCTAGGGGCAGCATGGTCTAATGGTTAATGCTTTGGACTCGTAGTTCTGTAACTTCGAGACTTTCTTGCTCCATGTTATTGCATCCTTGAGCAAGATACATAATGCCAATTGTTTCAATATATTCAGCTTTATAATGAGTATCCATTTGTAGCTGCGGGTTGACCTGCAATGGATTGACATCCCATCCTTTGGAAATGCCGTTATTCTCATGTGTTTATGCCATTGAAACAAAAGTTTAGCAGCAGTTACTATGTGCCACTTCAGCATTAGGTGTACAACAGAACGTCATTAGCAAAGGTTAGCACATGGTATCTGGTTGGAATGTCAAGACAAGTTAGATCCATGGTCTAGATGAAGAATATTGATGATCTTTAGGCAGACTGGTATTGGTGGTGATAGTGTCTGATAGCCAGCTTCTATACTTCGTGATGAATTTTCTGGTACTTAGTGCAGCCATGATCCATCTTAGACATGTTACAATGATGCCTATTCTGAGCATTTTGTCAGCAAGAATAGCCAGTCTATATTCTATTGAGGCAACCAGAGAAAATAGAAGCATAATTTGACAATGCAGAAGACAAATATATATACTACGATTTAGTACAAGAATCTTACCTAGGCGTGTAGTATTCCCCAATACACGGTTTTCAAGTAGAGTAGACAGATGGGCACACCAACTGGACGTTCGAAGGATACCAATAAACGGAATGTGTGTGTATGTCTGTCTGTTTGTCATTTTGATCTCCGAGTTCGTCAAGAATAAAAGGTCAAATCAGCAAAAAAAAGGGGGGCATCACAAAAGTAATCTTTATTCACACTACATAAACGCACAACAATCAATCAGGCAAGTATGGATGTTGAACTGGCAAGAAAGTTAGAGTTTAGTGAACTCCCTCCTACCAACCTAGTATTTGTCCTTCCCCCATAAGATAAAATAAAACGCTGTAAATAAGTCGAAGCCCCAAAGTTCAAGTATAAACAAAGTTAGATAACTAAAGGTACAGGCAAGTCACTGAATATTCGAAACAATGTAACTGTGGAACAATTATGTTTTGGGCCATAGGCGTAATTTACACGAGGAACGTTGGAGATGCTCTCCTCTCACTTTTTTATTGTAGATAACCCTCATGCCTCAGCTACAGCAACCTCCCCAAAGGTTTGAAACCAAAGTTACGCCATTGTTTCGGGCCACCTAATAATATCAATGCGACCATTGCAAATATTTGAAAAATAAGTAATGAAGGAATTTTACCTTGTAAATTACTACGCAGATAACTTGTTATGCTCGTTATCGTGTTATTTTGTTTTTTCAAAGCATAATGTTTCTTTGAAAGTTCGTATATATATATATATATATATATATATATATATATATATA